CTTGTACACCATGATTCTGTAGTTAGCTATATCATGAGGTTCCGTCACACAATCCCATCATTAGCTATTGCGACTGTATCCGCAATCTCATTTTGAAATCATGAGGTTCCACGATCTGCAATGCGGTCGTTGCTTCCCAGATGATCCGTGATCTAATTGTTGCTTTCCAGATTGCCTCTAAGCTGCGATACTATGGTTGGTCTCCCAAAAATCAAGCTCTAATATGAATTAAATACAACCAATATGATTTTCCACATAAATTAGGACAAAACAAAATATTTTATTTCAATAACCCAAACGACAAAACTTAAATGTATAAAAGATAAGCACTTACAATTCAAGAGGTATGTGAATCTATCCCAAACTCTAACCCTAGCATCTACAATTTGAGAGGTAGGCGATCTCTCACAAACCTTAAACCTAAAACTCAAGACTATAATCTCATGCATATCCCTAACCCTAATTATATTAGTCATATTTATACCCCATAATATTAAATATTAAGTTACTAAATTGCACATTTAGCCTTATGCTTAAAATAAGGCTCTGTTTGGCGTAACTGCAGCTTCTCAGCTTTTCAGCTGCAGCTGCGCTGCCTCAGGAAGCTGCTGCGGGGAAGCAGCTGCAGGAAAGCTGGCTGTCAGTTTGGTGCAGCTGTGTGAAACCAGCTGTCAGATAGTTGTTTATGGAGAAAAGATCATACTGCTCCTGTTTGGTAAAACTGTTTAAAAAAAGAGTATAACAATTATTTTTTTGAAACTTCAGTAAGCCCCTAAAATGCTAACAAATTCTGTTTAGAAATAAGAACACATGCTAATCTTAAGTATTTACATGTCTAACACAAACTTTGAAGTTTTACGAATATTTGCATATTATTTTTGAGGTCTTACAAAAGAATTGAGTCACATAAAATTAATGAAGTTAAATGTAGTGTTTGATATGTAAATATGTGAAATTAATTATGGTTAAGGAATAAAATTGAAGTGTTAGATATGTAATGTATAATGAAACCGATAATCATCGTTAGGTGATGTAAAAGCAAAATAGTTATGATTATTGCATCAGAATGAAACAAACATTTTAAATAATGAAATTGAAATGTAAAAAAGGACACCAAGCAATTTATGTGGTTTGGTCAAACTGACATACATCCACGAGGAAGCAAGCGAACATCTTTATTATGGCAATGAAGAAGAAAATACATAGCTTCGAATAAAAAATTACTCCTTCCAATAATCAATTGATGGGAGGAGTTAAAAAAAATGTCGTAGCATTTGCAAACAGCTCACCCAATTTTGCCACATACACATTAATAAAAGAAAAAATAATCAACACTGCATTAACAATAACTTTGGAAAGGAAGAGGGAGTTCAGCCACAACTCCATTAACAGTAACTTTGGAAAGGAAGAGGGAGTTCAGCCACAACTTCTTTGAAGCTCATGTTTGAGTAACTGATCAGGAGTGCCGGCTTTGATCGGGAGTCCACAACTTGGCGACGGTGGAAGAGGAGCAGCGGCGTGGCGGGGGGAGGAGCAGGTGGAGGAGTTGCGGGAGGCTTCACGACTATCACGGGAGCAGGCGTAGGAGCTTCAATGGGCAGAAAATTCCCTCTGCGCGGTTTCGGGAACGAGGTTTATACGGCTTTGAGCGGGGCAATGGGAGAAAAAATAATCGTGAACGTGGGGCCGTGGGGTCTCCCGCGGCCTGCGTTCCGCCTACTTTAGTGGCTGGTAGCCGCAGATGTCACGTGAAAGCGAGAAAAAAAGTACGGGCATTGCGGTTTGGGGTCGCGCCGCTCGAAAAAAGCGGCCCCAAATTGACCCTATGTCCTCAAATGATATGACAGGCTCAGCATGTCTAACAGAAATGCACACCTTTCAAATCAATCAAAGAATCTAAACCAAGTCTAGAAGGTCGTTAGGTATGCCCAAGTATTACTTTTGTTGATTCCAGTGAACCACCAAATGATTTTATTATCTTTATAAGAAATGCTCCCAGATCAAGCATTCAACACATATTTTATTCCTCACAAAAGATTGTCAATAGCTTTCGATCGCTTCCTATTGGTTTATAGATATTCAGATTCTTAGTAATATTCAAAAAGCACTCTACAATTTTGGAAGAAATTAGCTCAAAACAAAACTTTGGAAGATTTAGATTTATTCAAAGGAAAATGTATTGTTGATTGTAAGTGGACCTTTTTCAATCAAACATAATGTTGAGTGAATGGTGAGCAGATTTAAAGCTCAATTGGTTGTTGATGGACATGTTCAATTATATGGAATTAATTATGAAGAAATATATGCTCGTTGTTGCTAAACACATTCATTTTGGGTTTTGTTATTTTTAGTTGCAAACCTTGATTAGCCGTTTTCTCAACTTGATATCAAGATTGTATTCCTCAATAATAAGCTAGAAGAGGAACTGTATATGGATATTTCTATGGACTTGTAACTCAGACCAACATAAAAAATATGCATGCTGTAAAAATCCCTATACATTTTCGAAGGATCTCGACGCGGATAATTTGAAAGATTTGCAAAGGTTTTAAATGAGAACGGGTTCACAAAATGCAAAGGAAAGCATAATTTAGAGCCATATTTTAAGGGGTTAGTATGACTCAAATGGATTGAATTAAAGAAGCTAAGAATTCAAATGGAAGAATCCATATGACTATTTCGTGATAGTATAGTTGCAATATTCATTTCAAAAAACCTATTCCACCATGGTTGAGCTAAACATGTGGAGAAATATCAGCTTTCCTTCAAGGAAAAACTTGAAGGAAATATAAGGATCATTTTTACTTACATCCAAATTGTTGACATCCTTAGTAGGCCTATTGCACACCCTAATTTTTAGAAACCAATATCTAATGTCGGTATGATTGACATATACTACCCAACTTGAGGGAGAATGGATTTTGGTTCATATGAAATCCTCTAAATCTGTAATAAAATCTTAAAAAATTAATTATTGTCTTTTATTTTTGGCAGCATTTTTGCTATGGGGTTATTTGCTGACTTCTTGTGCAGTTTTAGTTTGTTTTATTTTCTTTTCTTTTGTATGTTGGAGTACGAAGGAGAGTTGAGCTACCTATCAAACTAGTTTGATGTCTGCCATCTGTAAAGTTTCATTTAGGTGAATAAATGGGATGAGTGGTTTAATAGTATTTGCAAGTCATTTAGTTCAAAGGTAATTTATGAGCATGATGTGCTTAATGATAGCTAAATGAGACATATGGTTTCTTTTATTTCTATCTATACCCCCTTTTAGAGAGTATTAAGGCATCAAGGAAATGAACTAGAATCATTTTTGTTGTGATTCTCTCCTCCTTCTCTAGCATCCTCAAATCATCACTTACAATACGATTCTCTAGGTATGTCTAGGTATGTAACATTCGACTGGACATTGTTTTTCCTGGATCGTGTGATTAGGAAGTAATGATGGAATGAAATGTTGGTGTGCCAATGTTGCCTAGTCTTATATTTTGACCTAGGATCCTTGTATTGGATTTGAGCAATAAGAGATAATTTATGTTGTGAGCTTTCAACATATTGGATGTGACTAATGTTTATGAGGGTTATCTTTCGTGGTGGAAAAGGAGACCCGATGGTGACTTTTGGACAAGAGTTGCAACATTGGGACCGCTTATTGGTGCAACTTGAATCTATTCTCTCCATAAGAAGGATTATAGAGCCATGGATGTTAGAATTGAAAATCATCTTTGAGAAAGACAATGCAAATGTATTAAATCCCTCCACCAAAGCTCGAAGTGGTATGCATGGACAAACCAACTTAACAATGGACCAAATTTAGCTTTCGTATTATTGTTTAGGCAAGCACTTCTCATTTTTTTATTTAGGGAACACAACAAAGCAGCCTATTTTTATGTCAGGCTTACTGCGTCTAATTCTTTTGTTTGGAAATCTGCAGATTGTGACGCCTTTCTTTCTTTCTTTCTTTTTTTTTTTTTTTTTTGGTGATTTTGCTTAGAAATGACCAAGACCACTCTGTATATGCTTAATTGCATATTTTTATAACCTTTTTTTTTTTTTTTTTTAATGAAAAATGAACGCTTTCTAGGAGAACTCATTGTCACTGAGAAAGCTTGCCTAGAATGTGGATAGCTCTCACTTCCTTTTTTCACCGTGCCCGTATTTTGTAGGGCTTGGCCCATTTTTGTTATCCAGTTTTTATATTAATTCAATGTGCGCATTTCAAGGAAAGCTTTCCTAGTTATTTTCTTAAAAATGCATTTTCCTGCACATTTCACAATCTAATGCTGAAGCATTGCTAGATAAATATATTTGTAATTTAGTTGGTTTTAGCTCTTAATGGAATCATCCTGACAAAGATTGAATCAAGATCTCAAAACCTTCTTATGTTAAATCATCTTGTCCATTGAAAGAAATGATTGGCATAATAGTATTGATGACCATGATTTTTTATTTTCTGAAGTCTGGTACTTTGAAGTACTCTGACCTCATAAGACTAATGAGATGATGAAGTACTCATAAGACTTGATTATTGAGATTCTTTGATTCCATCTTCCTTTTGTACCAAAGAAAAAAAAACATCCTTAATGAGAGAGAACAAACTTCTACAAACTAAACTGATTTCACTTGATCATGATGACCATGCACATTAAAATTACTGTCAAGGTCAGGCATGGTTAAATCAGACGAAAGTAGCCAGCTTTTTGTTCTCGTTGTCTAGTACAGATCTATGGAAAGCATGCACATTAATTTCTATTAAAGTTAAATTTATTTTATTATTATTTGCTATTCTCACTAGGATCTTGGAAAGTGCCGCCTTCTCTTCTATTTCTAGTCGGTCGGATTCGACAAACCTATCATTATTGGTGGCTGCTTCTGGTTTTTTACTGTAGCATCTTATGTTTTGGCTATTTCTCCTGATTTACTATGTTCCTGTCTTATAAAATAAAATATTTTATAAGTTTTGCATGATAATATTTATTTCTCTATCCTTTATTATGCAGTTGGTTGATTTTGAAAGATGGAATACAGTGGTTTCGAGAACAGACAATGGCTTAAGCTATTTAAGCAATGGAGGTTTATGCAATGGTTTTCTGGAAAATTCAGAGACAAAGAATGTTGATGTTCAGGCCAACACATATGATTTGGGGGTGCTCTTATTGGAACTAATCAGTGGAAGACCACCGCATTGCAAAGACAGGGGTTACATTGTAAATTGGGTAAGGTGTTCATCAACATTCTTTGAATTAAACTTTCACTGCTAACAACTTTCAGAAAATAAAAAGGGGCATTTATATGTATACCACCCAACTCTTATTTATTTACAACGTAAACTTCAATTTTACATTTATACCAACTAGATCTTTCATATATGTATACCACCCAATCATCACTTTGAACAATAGACCCGAGATATCTAAAACGTTCACTCTTTTTAATGATTTGATCACCAATTGTTATAACTCTGCCACTAGATCTACTGATGTTAAATTACATTCCATGTATTTGGTTTTAGATCTGCTCAAACAATAGACTTTAGACACTAAAGTAGACCTCCATAATTGAAGTTTTTCCTGAGCTCTTTTTCTAGTTTTTTTCACAAAGAGGATATCATCACATCTTCTTATAAATGTCCAGTAAGAGCATCCATAAGTAAAGCAAAAAGATATGAGCTAAAAGTTGATCCCTGATGTAATCCAAGTAAAATAAGAAAATACTTGGTGAATCCTCCTTCTGTTCGAACATATGTGACAACTATAATATACATTTATTTAATGACTTGAATATAAATCATATCGACACATTTCTTTTCTAGAACACTTCAAAGAATTTCTCTTGGAATCTTATCATAAGTTTTTTATAAATTAATTAAAATCATATGTAGATCCTCCTTACTCTCTCAATACTTCTCCATCAAACCTCTCACAAACCTCTCAATAAATGTATAAATGTATAGCTTCCATTGTAGACTTGTCCGACATAAATCCATTGAGAAATCTTTGTATCACATCTTAACTTATGTTCAATTAATCTCTTCCATAATTTTAATTTATGACACATTAACTTAATTCCTCCATAATTTGCACACTTTTATGCTTCCCCTTTATTCTTAAGATGGGGACCAAAATACTTTTTCTCCACTCGAATATTTTTTTAGTTTTTAAAATAATATTAATAAGTTTAGTAAGCTAAAAACTTTCCAAATCTCCTAGATATATCCACACTTTTATTAGAATATCATTAGATACTACTGTTTTTTCATCTTTGATTTTCTTTAAAGCTTCCTCAATATGTTTTTAGTTAATGCAATGGTAAAAATAAAAGCTTTATTATTATTAATGATATTAAAATTACTAAAATTGGTCGAATTTCAAAAAACTTTATTGAAAAGTTTATCAAAATATCTCACCCACCTATGTTGAATATCTTCATCTAAGAAAAATACTTTTTAATTTTCATCTTTAATAAATTTTATTTGAATTAAATATTTATTTATTTTTTCTTTATTTGACTAGTTTATACGTATATCTTTCACTCTCTTTATTATCTGATATATCATAAAGATCACAAAAAACAGAATGCTTAGCATCACAAATAGTTCTCTAGGACTCCTTAAGGGTCACCGTATATTTTTCCCAATTCTCTAAACTTTTATATTTAAATCATTTTTATAATAAAACCTTTTATATTTTATCTTTTTGTGCACATTATTATTTCATCACCAACAATTTTTATTTATAACAATTTTCTCTTTTGATTCTCCAAGTATCTCTTTGGTCACTGGTTTAATAGTATTTGTTATTTTATCTCACATAGAGTTAGCTTCTTCACGAATATATCAAATCTTAAAATTTTGAATTTTGCTCATAAAAATATTTTTATTTGTCTTTTTAAGTGTCCCCCATCTAATTCTATGACAATGTTTAATTATATTTTTTATCTATCTTAAAATCCAAAACTCATAATCGATGTTGAGTATTTAAATTTTTTTCTTGGAATGATCTTATAATCGTTAAATTATACACGATTTCTTTTTTGTCTTAAGAGAATAATCAATTTGTGTTTTATTAGATTCATTTTTTAAAAAAATAACGTGTTCTCCTCTTTCCTTAAATAAAGTATTAGCAATAATAAAATCATAAGTTAAAGTAAAATCATGAATTTGTTCATAACACTTTAATGCCATCCTTATCATTCTACACCCTCTATAAACATTCAAAATAAATTTATTAAATGAGATGTAATTTTGTATTTTGATGTCCCACTTCATTCAGAGAGCTCCTACATTCAACCACGCTAACAGCTTATAACAACTTGAGAAAGTAAATTTGCTCTTTTGTCATGCAGGCAATGGAGTATCTCCCTCACCCAGATAAGCTGAGCATGTTAGTAGATCCAGAACTAAAAAATGTGAAAACCGACGACCTCTCTGTAATATGCAGTGTGATTAGTCTGTGCATCGATCACGAGCCATCGAAGAGGCCATCGATGCAGATATTGTGTGAAATGTTGGAGAATGGTATCGACATCTCGGTCTGTGCTATTCTCTGTGAGACTTCTCTGGCTTGGGCAGAGCTTGCTCTCTCAGTTTAGGAGCAGAGTTCCACATTCTGTAAAATAGATTGCCAATAGAACATAGGAAAAAAACATTTTTTTTACTCTTTTATCTGGTGACATGTTGTGTATAGGATGTGAAATCACATGTGTATTCACCAGTAAACAGGCATTGTGTATGCATGTTTACAAAATGCTGCAGTTCATATTTTTCACATCCATAGCAAGAGTTTTTTCAGAGGACAAATTTTAAAATAGGGTATTTATATAAATTAAATTTATAATAGGAACCCTTAAGCCTGGCTTGGGCCACCTCTTTTGTTTATTAAGTAATTTATGAAAAATTAAAATATTTTGAGGTATTTTTTTTTAGAAATAATGTAGTTTTATTTATTTATTTATTGAGTTTTTATTGTTTATAAATTTTACATGAATAATTATAAGTATATTATTTTTATTGTTTAATATAACTATTATTAAATCTTAAAATTTAAAGAGAATACTTTTTATAATGAAATAGATGATAATTCTATGGTTCAATTTTTTGATAAATAATATATATTTTGAGTGTAATTTTTATTTTAAAATTGGAATGAATAAAATTTATTTCAATTGAAGAAATATATATATAGATAGATAGATATAAATGAAGCTAAAAAATTAATCAAATTATTTATTAAATAATTTATTAAAATATTTTGAGTTGTTAATTCATTAGAAATAATATAGTTTTTTTAATAATTAAATTTGTGCAAAAGTTAGGGCAAACAAAAAGCAAGCTTTAGAAAAAACACACTAACAAATTATGAGAATTAGAAACTAATGAAGTTCAACATGTAAACCGATGAAATGATAAAGAGAGCTTGTCAATAAAGCTCATCTATTAATAGTTTAGATCTATTAAGATAATAACTTATTACCTTGGCCAATTCAATCGTCTTCGAAGTGGTATCGAATACAACTCTATTACTTCATTTTCTGGGCTAAATTCGGGCTAGAAGCTACAATTCAAAGCTACAATTCGAGGTTATATGAAAAACTCATAGTCTGCACATATTATTGAAAGTTTATAATATTCTAACATAAATAAAGTATGATCTATTCATCCTATTTTAAGTGTAGTAATAGCATGTGGTCATGGTATATGATAAATAAGAGGATTAAAATTGCATTTACGATATCCAATTCCATCTAGATCAACTTGAATGATTCTACACAACCTATCATAAAGTTCACATTCATAAGAATTTATGCAAGTTGGTTTAATCATCATGCTTTCATATCCCTGAGTTATATTTTTTATTCTAGGCATAACATCAAATTCATTGGCTAATGATAATTTTTCCACAATTTTTGCTTTTTTCATGTCATGTTGCAATATTGGACACATATACATGCTTGTATAAGCAATGTGCATGTCTGTCTAAAGCTAAATGACAAACATTTGCATATTAAAAATATTCATGTTTGTATTTCAAGCAAAATAATTATCTTCACATAACATTTCTACAACTTTCAACCTCATTTCACATGTAGTTTTTTTTTCCTCCCTTAAATGTTGCAAATAATTTAGATATGTAGCTCAAGAAAAATTTTCTCTGCAATCATGAACCAAATTATAGTGTTTATCTAATACTATATAAAGATATTTTTGACATTCAGTGCTTTTAATAAAGTCATGAAGATAGGTGAAAACCACATACATGAATCATTTTATTAAAAATCAACAATAGTAAATGCCAATATGAATAGAACATTATTAGCATTGACTCCAACAACATTTAAGCGTGCAACCCTACAATTTCCTAATAAATAATTTCCATTACCAGTCTAAAAGTAATGGGTCAAAACCCCAAAACAAATTCATGATAAACACAGGCAATTTGTAATTTAGATTTATTCAAAGTTAACTTCTTTTGTTCAACATTATTTTTAATGGATCATGTATTTAATAATTAGTAATGTTTATTTAATTTTAATGATCATACCAACATACAACCCATAAGAAAAAAAATTCCATATATTATATACTTGATATTCTAAGAAACTATCAAAATTAACATGTGCATCCTACTTTTGAGCATTTTGACAAAATTAAATAAAATCATTATTCACTATCATTTGATTAGACATTTTTTCTCTATTAAATGTAACATTAAATATTATATCATACTCGCTTAACCCAATTGAATTCTTAAATTTTAAATTACTTGAATCCTCAATGTCACTTTCTTCAAACATTTAACGAGAGAAATTATCATTTGTTATGTAATCAGTTTCAAAAAAATCCTTATCACTTTGTAACCAAATGTCAATAATTTTTACTTCATCTGTCTCATTATATTCTATATGTTTAACCATGTTAAATCTTAATGTGTTGACATAAAATTAGTTAGACAATATACAAACTTGCTTATATATAAAAAAAAATTAATGTTAAGTTAATCTAATATATATTTAAAATATGAAATAAACCATATACTTATGCACAAGAGCTACTCACATATATCTTCCACAATTAGGCTTTGTGGACATTTGACGACATTATTGTGATTTATTCAAGGTTTTTAACACACTCACAATTATAGGCATATTTCTTTGAATTTGCTCAACTTTAATGTAAAATCCAAAAGATTTTATGTATACTTCTAATAAAATAGCTTCATAAAAATTATCATCAATGACGTGCAACCCCAAATTTATAATTTATTAGAAAGTAACAAACAAATTGAATATTATTATCAGTAGTATCAATGCTTAAGCATTGAATAATCCACAGCTTCAACTTATCCATTTTTGGTATATATAGGCACTTGTATAACCTTGTTATTTTTGCCAAAATAGGCATGTGTGAAATCTTCTACAACTCTTAGCTCACCATTATACTAAATCATTGATTTAGCTTTCTTTCTCATCTTAATTACTCTTCATAAGATATATTATTGGTAAAACTTAAACTAGATGGTTGGCTAAGCATATCTATCATATAATATATAACCAAACTTATATAAAACAACAACACAAGGATTAGATTCCACCCTTCTGCATTCATTGATTATCAAGTCCATAATAGTTGGTATGTTGGTAGGGTCCTATATATATATATATATATATATTGTGATTAAATAAGAACAAAGTTATGTACATGATTAGTGGACAATGCCAATTTATATTATCAATTATGGTATAATCCTACATTAATTTTGATTAATTTTAATAATCATTACTTAATTTCTCTCTAAGTGAATTTATTGGTCTGACCTATAACTTTTATCATTAGTGAATGATATAACCGCATAATGATAATTAGTACATCAACGAGACCCCATGATTATACCCTATCATAAGATAAGAATGGAATTATTCAACAATATTAGTAGATAATATTAAATTATGTTAGAATAATTATGATATCAACTTATATTAATTATGATTAACTCTAATAATCAAAATGGAATTTCTCTCATGGAACCTTTATTAGTCTGTTTTGCTAGTTCAGCCATTAGTGGATGATGTGACCAATTGGTGATACATCTGTGAAACCCTTGTTTGTACCTTGTGATGAGATAAAATTAATATCAATTATCATTATTAAAGAATAGTGTCAAATTATATTAGATTAATTATTATATCATCCTACACTAATTATGATTAACTTTAATAATCAATATTTAATTCTTCTCCAGCTGCATTTGTTAGCCCGACTCATCAATTTTCCTATTAGTAGATGACGTGATCACATAATGACACATTATTGGGGCCATAAGGTTTATACCCTATAGTAGGAACAATATAAAAATTATATGCCTTATTAATATATAAAAAAAATAATACTATTATAATTAAGGTATCATCCTATATTAATTATGATTAATCCTATAGTCAACATTAATTCATCTTTGTGTGCATTTATTAGTCTAGCCCAGCACTTCAGCATTGGATTGCCACTTCTAGTTCATTCTTTAATGGACTTTGAGTTATAGTATCTCTTAAGACATCCCACTTACTTTATTTAAAATATTCTTTTCATCACATATTCATGATATCAATAATATCAGTAGAATCGAGACATAGTAGGAGGCAAAGATCTCAAATTTAAGATACTAACAATATAAAAACTATTAATTAACCACCATGAGAACTTAATTCAAGCAGTGCTCATATGTATGATGCCCATAGTGTTAAGCATCCAAATATGGTTATAATTTTTAATCAAGTAATCAAATTAAATATTTTTTATTTATGAATCTTATTTTTTAAAATTGTGAATAAAATTAAAAGTTGTCAATGGCTAAATAATGGCCAACTGAATCTTCATGATTTATCAAGGCATTTCATATCATAAGCACCACAAACCTTTGACATCCAAGAGTCACTTGCCAGGATCATACCTTATTTATCACTTTAGTAGGACAATCATAACTGGAGACAAACAATTTGCACCTATCAGTTGAAGAGATGATAATCTTTCTATAAGATATTTACACTAGTTTAGAAGTACATGTAGATGATTGCACTCCAATTAGATATAAGAATGTTGGACCTAGTTTAAAATTTTCAACATAGCCCTATTATTGTGATACATCCATTCCCTAAAATGATCTATTATGTCTGTTGCACTAAATTTTTTCTATAAACTCATATATGAATCTCAAAAAAATAAAATTGAATCAATACGCTCATTCATAGATTCTTTTTATTATTGGATGCTTTTAATGTTAGATACATCTAGCTCTGAAATATATTTATAATATCAAGTATTATTAGAAAATTTAAAAGTATTTATTGCATATTAGATTTCCAGCATTGACACATCTGTACAGAGAGTTCAAAGAGAATGCAAAACCTAATAGTGTAAATATGATTGGATTTTAAAGCTCTTGCAAGTTTTGACAAAGGAGTAGTTACATATTGATCGTTCAATCTTGCATTTACTCTTCCTTAATGACATCTCAAAGAAATTACTGGGATTTATATATACTTATTTTATTAAACATATGATTTATTATAATATGAATTAGTTTTCACAATTCAAAGTAAATGTAGGTAAAATGATCATATGATGAGATAATTACCTGTAAATAATATAAAATTTTATCAAAATGAATTATATGATTTGAAAGATTGTTTGATAATATACTTATATTTAGTTACTATGCATTTTTAATAATCTAATATATACTTTTATTAAATATTTATTTACTTTAAAAATAAATTAG